AGGCTCGTTGATGCAGATTTTCCCAAGCAAAGCATCATTTATTGGGATGTGGGTGACCTTGAGGCACTCAGATCCAGCCGTGGCTTAACAGGCATCAGGACAGGATGTAAAATAATAATATTATATAGTTGCAAGCTGCTGCGACGATGCGACGTGCAGGGCTTATCTCTGCCTCCTCTCCTGGAAGGGACACGGAGAAGGGTGGAAGCTCTGGTGTGATGCTCTCCTCAAGAGAAGCTGCCCAAACCGAGAGCTCCACGTGATTCAGAGGGACCGGTTGCATGCAGGACCATCCAGAGTTATGACGAATAATGGCCATGCGCATCCTGCATCCGTGGGCTAGTGGGGTGTGGGGCAGTCCCACTCCACGAGCAGGGCCAGAGAGGCATCCGAGGCAAACGGTGTGCGGGATGCGGGGCTGATGCTCTCCTGGAGCCTGGCCACCGTCAGAGAGGGGACAGCGGATGAATCCAGCAGATCTTCTGGTCCTACACTACCATCAGATGATGAAGATGAGATTTGGATTATTTGCTTTCTGCGCCTGCAGTCAAGGCGTTGTACAGCCCCAGTGCACGGTGGCAAGCAAGGTCCCTCTTCCAGATCGTGGTTAGTATTGCTCGATGCACAGAGGGGAACATCAAGGGACACAGAGGGAGGGCAGAGAAGCAGTACCCACAACACTCCGGAGCCCGGGCTGCTGCAATGGCGCATGGCGAGGTCTGTGGTGTTTTGCCGTCGGGGATTTCAGCATGGTGAGGTGAGACTGTTGCTTCTGCAGCTCTTCTCCCCACACACCACCTGTGCTCCGGCTCTCATGGAAATTAAACCTTGACCAGTTCCAGGGGAGCCTGAGCTGCTGTGACCGCTCGGGTGAGCGGATGCAGCTTCCTCTGGGTGCCTCCCTGGGAGCTGGGGACAGAAGGGTCTATCTTTTGTTGGAAACTATACCGATGCGAAAAGAGAGAAAAGAAGAAGCACAGCTTGGACGCTCGCTGGTGGTGAACAGTGATGCTCGAGCTCCATCCTGCAACGCCTTTTGGCCCTTGGGACTCCCTGGAAAGCCTTAGCATAACCTGGAGAAGGTGGAGAGGAGCAGATGCCCACGGTGGTACGTACCGGTGTCAGGTGGGAAGGGGTTTGGTGCTGTCACCGTGCCCCTGCCCTGCTGGGACGGCCCGCGGGAGTGCGGGCTGCTGCCGTTGCTCGTGGGACAAGGAACCGGCCTCAGCTGCGTTGGCTCCAGTGGGTCGCAGAACTCAAAGGGGGTCCGACTGGCCTGCACACCCTGCCCGCTGCTCATCGCTAGAGATTCATGAAATGACAGAAAAAAAAAAAGAAATGAAGAGGAAAAAAAACCCACAAGTCAGATCTCTTCCCAAGGCTCATTGCAAGATCGCCGTCGCTCGGCAAAATCCTCGCCCTGCCAGGGACGGAGCTGATGTCGGAAAGTTTGGAGGGTGAGAAGGGGGTGGTGGTGGGATGTCACCTCGCCTAAAGCTGAGGGCTTGGTCCCATGTGTGGTTTGGTCACCTGCAGCCACCCCGGGTGACAACAGCTTGGCCTGAGCAGCACCGCAGCTCCAGAAGGTCAGGGGATCCAGGATCCACCCAAAAAACAGTAGCTGGAGCTTAAAATCATCAGTGGGACATTAAAATAATCACCTGAACATAAGAAAGGTTTTTATTTAGAGAAGTTTTTGCAGGTTCAGCTGCAGTTTGCCATTGGGGAGCACGTCTGAGCTGCTGACGCTGAACTGAGAGATGAACGTTAAGAGGCAGCCTTGTGAGTGGGTGGCCACCAGCCGTGGCTATTGCCAACCCTCCTCCAAGCCAGCAGCACCTCTAAATGCTCGGGGACAGGCTGAGGGATGCACCACTGCCGCCCCGCACGAGCTGAACCCGACAGCAGCGCCTCGGGTGAGGGTCCTGGTGTGTCTCCTTGGTGGTAAGCGCTATTTTAGACGCTGTAACCCAGGAGGGCAGCAGTTGGCATTTCAAGCACTCGCCCTTCAGCCCCTGCCGTGACTGTCCTGGCCCTCACCCTCCTCCCCACTCTAACTTGGATGCAGGATTCCCTTTCCTCCGAAGACAAGAAGCCCCGCTCTTAATTACGTTGGAGCATTATGGTTGTCCCTGCTGCTGAAGGTCCCAACCGTCTCAGCCCTGGGACAAGAAGGTCCTTGGCGAGGAATTATTAGGCTTAAGCAATAAGCCTAATGATAAATTCAGCTTGGAGGTGGTGAGTGAATCGGTCCATGGCTACAGCTACGGAGCTGACAGCTCCTTTTCACTTCCCAGAGGTTTCCCGGACGGAGGGGAGGCACAGCACAGCTCCCTGATGCCTCCAGGCTCAACGCAGCTGTCGTTCATCACCCTTCCAGCATTTTACACCCTAACCTGCACATCTTTTGTTAGCTGAGACTCCAATTTATGAGACCTCGAGCTCTCCCTGTGATTTAACAGGCTGGACAACACAGCACTTCACAGCACTTTGCTCCAGAGCCTGCCTGCAGCTTGCAGAGACGATTTTTGGGCGGGGTTTAGAGACCTGCAAGCCATCGCTCAGCGGCAGGATTCTGTGCTGCCCTCGGAGGGTCCCCCCAGGAGAGCCCACCGCAAACCCAGCCTCCCAGGTGAGCTTCACGCCTCTTCATGGCACAGTTTTGGCCGCGCTCACCCCACCACGTTGCTTTTCCTTCTGCTACAATGCTCCTACCCTTTTAAAGGCTCCACTTCTGCAACTTGAGTCCTCCGAAAATATCCCAGCCTTGCCTGCCAGAGCCGCCTCGCCAGCTTCTTGCCTGGCTGGAACCCAAAACCTCCTCATCTCCATTTGCTGGATAAGTAACAGGAAGATTAGCCCTCTCCGGGTAGGATGTGGACCAGCAGCTAACTTGTTTATACTAGGCACTGTCCTGCCGCTCGCTCTTCCTTCCCTCTGCTCTGAAAGCCGCACTTCAGCATTCAAGACTCAGCACGATTTGCTGCAGCAGCAATACAAGGGATGCGACAGATAATTATATCCATGAGAAATCAAACACAGGATGGGAAAAGCCCCACAGGGCCAGGACCGGCTCCAGCATGCTGCTCCAGGAATGCTGCGGTACCAGAGGGGACTGGTGAGCATCCCTCGGGGCTGGCACAGGCACAGCAATCACGGCAAGCACGTGCCATGGCTCTGAAAGAGCACGCTGTGATGGCAGGAGCTGCTGGGTGAGTTTATTCGGGCAAATTTAAGCTGGAATTGGTAAAAGCTTGCTTTGCCCATGGAAGATGGGCATGGATGGAAGATGCCCATGGAAGGTTTGCTGGGAATAGCTGTGCCTCTGTTACCGCCCAGCCTGAGGAAGCCCAT